AAGTTGAGCCCATTGCAGTAGAAGATAAAGAGTAAATATCTTCAACTGAATTTTCTTCAGCTTTTCTCTCTTTTTTCTTTGTCATAACTCACAGATTTATTATGATGCTCTTGTTCCAATGAGGTGTCAAACTCCAGTGTATTGAAACTTGGTAGTATTAACTCACATCCTATTACATTTAATGCCAGTGTCATCCAACAGAAACTAACTGAAATGTGTCATCACCAAACAGGATATTTGAGGGGTCAACCTTTAACTAATAACAACTCACTGTTTTAAACACTAAACTCCAGACAATATTAAGAGTGAAACAAGATACTAATGAATATTGAATGAATTTGGGTCTAGAGAAATGTAATTATTGACCAAAAAATCTGCAATATGACAGTTAAATACACGAAGCATTCCGTATTCATGCAGGGTCCGGGGAAAGGTCGCACCCCAAAGAGTGTGATGTAGGCAGTCTACCCTGATGTAGACAGCCTATCCTGATGCAAGCATCAATGGTTGATTCTACGGCTCAAACCCGTGACCTATAGGTCATACAGAAACACGGAAACAACTTTACCATTGCTCCAAGCCCCCTTCCTTATTTCAGTTAATCATTTCTTTTTGTGTATAATAATCCAACATGTGAAAGGAGTAAACTTTGTGAGTTGGTTTTATAAGAAAGGTGGGGCATTTACATTCATCATGTTCAATGTTGTTACTATCTCACATTAGTACTTTCTCTATTTCAAATTCAAATTCTAGTGACTCATCGATTTCTCAATTTATTTCAGTTGTTCTAGCTAAAGCTTTTTTTAATCTTATACTGGCTTTTATTCGAAAACTATTTGATAGTATTAATCATAAGAGGTATTTGACAAATTACCCTTATCTATTCCTACTATATACTTTCTTAGGGATCTATGGTATGATGTATAAGAAGGTATAAGGGTTGTATAAAAATTTAATACCACCTTAATACTCTGTTTGGTTAGCAAACCAGGTATAAGTTATTCCGATGTTAATTTTAACAGTGGAATAGCTTATACCTTATAGAAGGTGGGGTAATTAGCACCAGTATAACTTATACCCTCTTCTTAGAAATTATGCAATGTCATTCTTAATACAACATACCAAACAATGAATAAACAACAATCCCAACATATCCCAGCATAACTTATCTTAATATAACTTATACCGGTATAAATCGTATTCCAACCAAACGACCCCTTAGAATAATAAGAACCTAATTAAAAAAGAATACTCTCTTCGTTCACTTTTACTTATCCACTATACTAAAAAAAATATTCACTTTTACTTGTCCACTATACTAAAAAAAATACTTTTCACTTTTACTTGTCAATTTTAGCAAATCAAAAGAAAATTAATTTTTTTCCTGTTTTACCCTTATCATTAACTACTTATTCTCAATTATTTTTCAAGATTTCTTAAAATGCTATCATTATGATTGGTGTTATGGTAAAATATGTACTTCATTTATCATTTTTAAGGGGCATGCTAAGTGAGAGGCGGATCCAGAATTTTAAGTTAATGGGTTCCTATAACAATCTCAAGTTAATCTACACGATAACTAAACCAACGAACTATGTTCCAATCTAAATATTCTTATACTTTTAATGAATTTTTTAGTACAAATACATGGTCTATGCAAAAGTTACTGGGTTCATGGGAACCCGTAACCTTTGCTCTAGATCCGCCCCTGCTAAGTCCATTGTGGACAAGTAAAAGTGAATAGAGGTAACGTTAATACCTTCTTGATTTTCGAGCTAACATTTTTTATTTGGCTTAAGTAACATATAAAAAGGATCACAGGTAGTAGGGCTTCTTCTTGGTCTGTCCTAGTTTTAATATTTAATATCATTTGGATGGACTCAAGTAATTTTGATTAGGGATTTTTACCTATCTATACCATATATGAAACCTTATTACCCTCAATGTTTAAGGTTTGTGTTTATTACATTTAAGCATACCAAATTACCATTTCTATACCATAATTCAAATTATGGGCATAATTAATGCTTTATTTATATTAGGCGTTAATTTAGGAGCGTATATTCTCCCATTTTCGTTTACCCGCCTCTCTCTCCTCCCACCCCCATACCTCCCACGTTTCTCTCTCCCCTGGACTCGACGACCTCAAACGGATTTAACGGAATTCAA